TACCATTCAGCCATATAAAGAGCCTTTGGAAGTGGTTAATTTGGGTTCAAAAGAAGATCCGAAGGAAGTTAAGATTAGAGCATCGTTGCATCCTGATGTAAAGAGCGGGTTAATTGAGCTATTGAAAGATTATGTGGATGTTTTTTCTTGGTCTTATCAAGATATGCCTGGTCTAGATACAGACATTGTCGAGCATCGTTTGCCATTGAAGCCAGAGTGTCTGCCAGTTAAAAAAAAGTTGAGAAGAACCCACTCGGATATGGCAGTAAAAATCAAAGAGGAGGTCCTAAAGCAGATTAATGCTGGTTTTCTTGTGACATCAGTGTATCCTCAATGGATTGCCAATATTGTCCCAATACCAAAAAAAGACGGAAAAGTCCGCATGTGCGTAGATTACAGAGATCTAAATAAAGCTAGTCCAAAAGATGATTTTCCATTGCCTCACATCGACATGTTAGTGGATAGCACAACAAAATTCAAGGTATTCTCGTTCATGGACGGATTTTCTGGGTATAATCAAATAAGAATGGCTCCATAGGACATGGAAAAAACAATGTTTATCACGCCCTGGGGAACATTCTGTTACAGAGTGATGCCCTTTGGGTTGAAGAACGATGGTGCAACGTACCAGAGGGCTATGACAACCCTATTCCATGATCTGATGCACAAATAAATCGAAGTATATGTTGATGATATGATTGCCAAATCCCAAACTAAAGAAGGGAATATAGAAGATTTGTTGAAGTTGTTTCAGTGTTTGAGGAAGTATCGTCTCCGCCTGAATCCAAATAAATGCACCTTCGGAGTTAGATCGGGGAAATTGTTGGGTTTTATTGTTAGCCAGAAAGGAATTGAAGTTGAACCTGATAAAGTCAAAGCAATTCAAGAAATGCCAGCACCAAGAACTGAAAAGCAAGTCAGGGGTTTCCTCGGGCGTTTGAATTATATCTCCAGATTTATTTCCCACATGACTGCAACATATGAACTAATCTTTAAGTTGTTAAAGAAAGATCAAGGTTGTGTGTGGACGGATGACTGCCAAAGGGAATTTGAAAGTATTAAAGAGTATCTGCTTGAACCTCCTATCTTGCTCCCTCCCGTAGAAGTAAGACCGTTGATTATGTATCTAACAGTGTTAGATAAATCTATGGGTTGTATTCTGGGTCAACAGGATGAAACAGGAAAGAAAGAGTTCTCCATTTATTATCTCAGCAAAAAGTTCACTGATTGCGAGTTATAGTATTCTATGCTAGAAAAAACATGTTGTGCTTTGTCCTGGGCGGCAAAGCGTTTGCGGCAGTATATGTTGAATCATACTACTTGGTTGATCTCTATGGTACGGTGGCCAGAACTGGGACGTGTTTCCCTATTTTTTTTAAGGAATTTGCTGGTTTATGTTTTGCGTTTGTTTTCGAAAAATGTCGCGGTAAGCAAGAGTCGCCACCGTCTTTTATTTTATCCAATAAGGAAAGGAAAAAGCACAAAAAAAATCTTTTTTCGAGATTTTCTAGGTACGGGGGGTAGATTATAGAAAGGGAAGGTATTAGCACCCTTTCTATCCGTAGTTATCTACGGGCTCTTAGGTACTTGCTCATCATTTTCAAAATTGTTTTCTTTGTGTTTGCGTGATTTAAAAAAGTTTTTGTTTTGACTTTGATTTAACTCTTATATCAGTCCTCAAGAGTGTAATGAAGTGTTTTTGAAAACTTTGTTTGTAAAGGAGTGTAAGTGTGAAAAAGTTTGTTTTGATTGAGCAAGTATTTAAGAACTAATCTACCTACTCGAAAAAAGAATCGTTCTATGTTCATTTCCTTTAGACAATGCTATCCCACTATTAGTGAGTAGGTAGCACCGTCGTTGGAGTTTTGAGGGTCAATTCAAAAGGGACGTACGATCACTAAAGCAATGTTATGACGTCTTAGTAATAATCCTAATGTCTTAGATCATTTATCCGAGGCAACAATATCCGAGGCAACCTTTCAGAGGCAACTTTGATCTTTGGATAAAAGGATGACCACTAAAACATCCTATACTCAATGACCGTTTACTGAAGGCAACCAAGTGGGAGAGTACCCTAGGAGTACGCATGTGCGAATGTTTCAATTTCAGTTTATTTATCTTTGCACATTTAGGGTGATCTCACCGTTTTAAAATTAGACATACATTCTTGTCATGCATCCTATTATCATACATCTAACAGTTAATAATTGGCAGAATTTAAAATGCGGAAATTTAAACTACGCTATTACAAGGCTTCGGGTATTTACATAGCCAAAAACAAACCCTTTGAAATTAAAGCGATAAATGTAAATAAACGTCCTAATTAATCTATTACAAACTGTAGGCAATTAGATCAATATGGATAAAAATAAAAATAAGGCGCGCGGCAAAAATTAGATTGACGAGAAATTAGGGTTTTGACCCTCCTAATCAAAAGAAAAATATTTTTGTTGTTTTTAATATTTTTTAAAAGAAAGGAATTAAGTTTTCTAAATAAATGTACAAATTAATTAGTGATTAAATTAATTAATGAAAATAATTACAAGACCTATTTTTGGTTTTTTTGTTATTTTAGGAAAATATAAAATATAATTAAGTTAGTAATAAAACCTATTTATTCTAATTAATTTTAATTATGTACAAAAAAAGAAATCAAAGTTATCTAAATTAATCAAACCTAATTAAATTAATTAATTTTTTTAATAAAAATAAATATCTTAAATTTAACTGGATAGAAAAATATTTTTGTGATTTTTTAATAAAAAGTAAATTAATTTTTGTTAGTAAAATTAATTAATTAATTAATTAAAATATAAAAAGAAAAAAGAATAAGAGATGGGCCTGAAAAATGGGGGGTGTGAATATCAATTTGGGCCCAAGGATTGGAAATCCACGTTGACTTCTGAGATCCAGCACATTGCCTTGACTAAGGTCCACCATGGTCATCATGTCATAGCCATCAGATCTGGCTTCTTGGATTCTTGAATGGTTGGATCTTGAGGGAGTATGATAGGCCTTGGATTTATGTGCACATGTGATTGCCTGAAATAAATTAAGAAAAAACATAAATGTTGGAGGCAGGGGTCGAACCCTTAACCTCAAGCACTCCCACGCATTAACACTAACCTGGCTACCACTGGGCCATCTGCTTCTGTTTGTACATATGATAAATAATAATAATAATATATAAAACAAATAGAATAATAAAATATTCAGCGCGAAATTCAAATGGGCAAATCAGATGAAGCCACGTCTTCGTCTCCTTCCTCTCTCTGTGGCTAAAAGGTTTGGAAACCTTTACCTACGGACAACGTCCGTCGCTATAGACCTGTGCATTCTCAAAATCAACTTTGACCTGTGCATTCTTTAATTTTAAAAATCTTCTCCCTCCTTTTTAAACTCTTCTTGTTTCTAAACTTGAAACACTTTCATAATAAACTTGGACTTATGTCCATGCATTTTCAAAACATTTTCATCAATAGACTTTAATCAATTTAATAATACCTTGACATTTTTTGTGAGAAGACTAAAAGTCAATTAATCTCATTCCAAACCATTTTTTTTTGCCACTTTGACTTTTATCTTTAAACATTTCTCAAAAGATTAGACTATTGTCAATCCTTGTAGTGGTGCAAACAACTATACTTCTACAATATGTAGTGAAGTGAGATATTTTCCACTTGGGTGTTGAGTGAGACATTGTTGATTTTAAAATCCAAGCTATTATCCTCCACTTTGAGATGATGTAAATTCTCCTTTCTCATGATTGTGGGTAGTAAGTATGTTTTGCACACAGACAATGACAATGATGTCTTATCTCATAAAATTAACCAACAAACATGTGTTTCAAAATTTTAAAAGAGGAACTACGTGTACCCTGATCCCCTATTGCACGAAAGGTGGTACGTAGGCACTAAAGGTTCGCAACCGCGGCGGGTGCAAAAATCATAATAAAAACATTTCTCTTCTCACCTCCACTATCCATTTTATATACAACACATTTTTATATAGTCAAAATATACAGATTTTACAAAGAGGTTTCTGCGGATTACCGTAGATGTTTAGGGTGTTAATACCTTCCCTTTGCATAACCAACCCCCTTACCTTGAATCTTTCCCCTTTTTTGGGTTATTCGCTCTTTTCCCATTCCTTTGGAAACAATAGAGCGCGGTGACGATTTTTATTTTGATTTGTATAAAGTCTAGTCAATCCAATGACTTACTCTTGAACATTTCTACCGTTACAAGGAACACTCTTTCAAGCTTGTTATTACTGAGGATGTCTATGGTGTTTGGAATTATCGCAATGAATTCTGCTTTGAGAATAAAATTGATTATTTGAAGGCTTTGAGACAAATTATGAATACCATCATTTTTAAGAGATAACATTGTATAATCCTTAAAAATCATATTGTTAATATGATGATGTAATTGAGTTGTTTTTATTCTCTTTTGTTTTGTGAGTTTGATCCGATATAATCACCTTATAATTGTAGGTTTAATATAATTAGCTTTAACTTGTTTAAAAAAAAGGAACAATTTCCCTCTCTCATGTGCATCATAATTAAAAATTAAAAAGAAACAAAGAAAAAAATAAATACATAAATCACCTATTTAAATTAAAATTAAAATGAATTATTATGCATTGTCACTATAAAAACTTTTTATAAAGTCAGTATAAATATTATTTTATAAATAATTAAAATATAAATAAAACATAATTTATAATCTACACTGAAAACGTAAAACTTCGGTGAATTCCAATTAAATTTATTAAAATAACAACAAAAAAAAAGGAAAATAAAAATGAAATGAAAAACAGAAAGAGAGAGAACGTTCACACTAATTTCCTTTTCCCTTCTGCATCACTATTTTTCTGTATCTTCCTCTATTCTCTCTCGTTAAAGCGACGTCGATGAGCGCGTTGGTGTGAGGCTGCGATCAGAGCGGCTATCGTCGCGGTTGCGGTTGGTTCCGACACTATTGTGGTGTTCTAGTTCTATGCGTAGCGGTAATGTCGAATTCGTGATGAGGAGGACGACGCGGAGATGGCGACGACGATGGCTGTGCAGTGTCTCCGACGACGAAAAGCTTCACGGCAGTGATGATTGGGTTTCTCAGTTCGCCAGAGCAGGGTCGCCAACGGTGGTTTCGCGTTTTGTTTTTGATTTCGAATCTTTTTCTCTGTTCTCTAATGTCTGTAGTTTCAATTTTTTTGCTTTTTCCTTTTCTTTTTTTTTTTGAATTTTGGTTTGAAGGTTTGTGATTTACATGTTGGGGCTTGATTTATTTGTGCCAAGGTTGTTGTTACAAACAAAAAGAAGAGTAACATGAAGCTCAAGTTCTCAACCATGTTGTTGTTACAATTGTTTGTTTTGAATTTTGATGAATTTCTTGAATGAAGTGAAGACGTGTTAATGGTGGTATGTGTGGGAGTATCAAGAGTGATGGAGGTTGTGATATTGAAGGTTTTTTTGCATGGTTATTTCTTTGCTATTTTTTGGTATAATATGAAGATTGCCTATGTGCCTTTTTGAATAAATTAGTCCCCTATTTATAATGATTTTTTAGGTCAATATAAAGGAAAATTATCAAATGTGACAAAACACAATTAATTAAAAACACGTATGAAAAGTTGTGACCAATCAAACAAGTATGACATACCTAATTAAAAATAAATATGAAAAATTACGAGAAATTAAAAATAAATATGACAAATTACGATCCATTAGAAACAAGTATGAAAAATCGGGAAAGATTCTGATTTTTAATATTTTTTGTGATTTTTATTATTTTATGATTAAAAATAAATAAAAAATAATAGTTAAAAAAAATACTTCTTAAAAAATTGTAAATAATATTAAAATAATTCAAAAGTCAACATTTGACTTTTTGTTGACCCCTACTGACCTTTTTAATAAAAATAAATACAATAGAGTTCGAACCTGCGACTCTACATCTGATGTCTCTACGCAACTACTGACTGAACTGACCTATATATATATATATATATATATATATATATATATATATATATATATATATATATATATATATATATATATATATATATATAAATATTTATTTATTTTTTTTGGTTGATTTTTTTTCTTCTGAAATGCTCCTAAAATAAGATAGTAAAAAATATGCGGTAAAATTTAAGGTACGACACTAAGGACTTTGATACTCTTAGAGCATCCACATCCATCATCTCTTCATGGATTCTTTAAATGAGACTCACTTAATTTTTTATATTATATCACACTTTCACATTTTCTAAACAACCCAACTACATTTTTTAAATATCCATACAACCCAACTACATTTATGACTTGTAACAATTTCTATTAATGATATAACCATTACTTTTTTACACTTGGTAAAAAAATCAGTTAGAGAGCGTGGTTAAATAAGAGAACATGCATGAATGTAGGAACGCTACTTTTTCTCAATTATCCAAATATTAAAAACAAATTTATTAAAAACTGTGTAGCAACGGCACTTTGTCAGTCGATAATTATGCTCTTACTTAATTGATTTGCTACTTCTACTTTGTAAATTTTAAAGACATTAAAGGTATCATCTTTATGCTTTAAAAGATATACATATGTGTATCTAGAAGTATAGTAGATGAATATAATAAAATATCTATTTCTTCCACGGTTTAACATAGTGTTAAATTTATACAAATCTGAATGTATAAGATCAAGCAGATTTGTATTTCTTTCAACACTTTTAAAATGTTTCTTAATCATATTTGATTTAACACATAATTTTCATTTTTCGAAATCATTTATATTACATGAGATCAAACTAGATTTAATTAGTTTCTTCATAAAGAAATAGACTCAAGCACGTAAGCAAAATTAAAAATTTCATTAAACATATTATCCACAATATAAAGTTTGATCATTCTTTCAGCGGAATCGATTCATATACATATTTAATGCTCGACTTTCCTAATAAATCTCCACTAACAAGATTTCTATTCATGTCGGAATATTGACAAGGTTGACTTTCTTACCGAAAGTGAAGTTAAGTTCGATGGATCCAGTTCCAACAACTTTAAATTGTAATTCATTTTCTATTTGTATTTTATAACCATCATTTATCTCAGAATAAGTTTTATAAAAACAACCTTGTCATAAGAGACATGCACTTTGGCACATGTATCGTATCACCATCCCTACACTTTACCTTTGATTGCCATTATGTTTCTCATTGTAATGATTATGTCGACATTTGTATGAATTATATTAATCTTGTTTTTAAACTTGTTGTGCCTAGAATCTCAAACATAGTAACCGATTTTTCCGCACAAGTAACAACCATGGGGCCAATATGATTACAATGTCAATAAAATAATATATAAAAAGATCTTAACATAGTTACAATGTCAGTTATGAAAATGAATCAACTTATTAACGATTAATACACGACAATAGCTTCAAAGCATACTGTCAAAACATAGGCTTGTAATTTAACAAATTTATAATTTAGCTCTTCATTTTTAGGATATTAAGTTTATTCGGAAATTATGATTTTGAGATATTGTCACTACATTCTTCTTCTTATTGAATCGGTTAAAGAATAACAAGGAGTTGTGGAAAGTTCTTTTCTATTTTTGCTTCAAATTTGTTTTTGTTTTAATTCCTATTACACGGTTTTGAACTTATTTTGGGGCTAAAAATGAATTCAGGTCACATATCTCAAAGGTAAAAAGCAATATTCCTCTATATCCATTTATTTTCATTATTATTGCTTTATTTTCCCATTAAATCTTTACTTTCAAAGTTGTTTCTTTTTTCTGTTACATGAATTTGACATTTTTACAAGTTTTTTTTTGTTTTCAATTTCTATTACACGATTTTTAGATTTATCATATAAGGAAAGTGACTGTTCTTTTAATGTCTAAAATACCCTTCTTTTTTTCATAATGAGTCACGTGGTTCACCTCACAATTCAGCATGTGTTTTTTTTCCAAATCCTCCAAATTATTTATTTCGTATATTCCGATTCTTTCTACTTCCAATCCTTCAAGAAATTTAATTGGTTGATCTAAATTGTTTCATTAACGAGTTATTGAGAAGCTCTTTTTGAACAAGTTAAGAGGTTGCAAGATATATGGTATGAACCAATGAGAAATTCTATAGGTGAAAAATTGGCCACAGAAAGAGCAAGATATTTCACCTTCAATTGGTATAGTTCTCCTTCAAATACTAATATAAAGCTTATTCTATTGATTCCTTTATAGCAGTACATAATATTATTGTCATGGCCAATGATTTTGATTTTTTGATACACCGTAAAGTTTACGTGGCTTAAAACTAATTTGTGCCATGAAAATCTTCTTGATGCATGGATCTATGTGATACACCTAATCTTAATCTTCGATGAGGATTTGGCAGTGTAAGTAAAAAGTGCAATTTTTTGTATTTATATTCTTCCCTAATATCATTCCTTGAATCTCATTTTAAATTCATTTGTATAGAGGGCATCCCCAATGCATTTGAAGACATCCATCCTTTAGAGCTTTTTGGACAGTTGTTTGTCTCTTTAGTGGCTATGGCTTGGCTGAAAGTGGAGGAGGGGCAACAATAATGATAGGTTTTGCTTATGTTTCTTGTGGCGAGATTTTGTTTGTTGTGGGAAAGAAAAGATGGTGTTGTACTTTGATAACAAAGGTAAAACTTTGTTGATGTATCAAATTCTCTTGTGTAGTAATGTTTTGTATTTGTAAACTACCTTTGTCTTGCAACAAAAACTGATTTTGTTGAAGTTAATCTTGGCTTCCAAAATAATAGCAACATATACATTTTGTGACTATTATAATGGAATCTACTTATTATGACTTTTTCACAACTTTTCTTATCTATTTATATATATTGCTTAACATGACATTTATTTTTAAATTTTAGTCCCCATGAATTGCATTCTTTGGTCTATTATCTATATGCTACTGTTTCGTTGGAGCAGTTCGTTCGCATCAGAATTTTTTGTGTCAGTGTGGTTGGACCGCATTTGTTACGGTAGTCAAGTTCAGCTCATGGATTTTGTCGCCATCATTTTAGGTTTTAGTGGATGTCACTATTTAGCGCCTCTGTCGCGAGGCTCCTGTCGAGAAGCATTGATAGCTTATGTACCTATTCTACTAAGAGTATTTTGATTCGTCCAATTGAAGATGTCAGGGAATCAATTTGTTATCGCCCGCTGATATGGCTCAGATCAAACATGTTTCCAATTTGTTTGTATTTTGTCTTTTGAATCAGGGTTAACTCTTTTAATTAATTTATATTTCTTCTGTAAATTGTTTGATTCCACTATTACACTCTTCTTTCTCGTAGTGTTGAGGCATGTGTTGGTGGGAAGAAGAATATACCTCCTAACGGTACGCCTATCCTCTATTTGCACATATATTGCCTCTATATTTTACAGAATTGACTGGAGCACTCTTATTTCCAAGAGATCACAAGATGCGTGCATGGCAAATTTTCCAAAAGAGAACTTTCCATAGCTAGATAGCATAATTAAGATTTATTATTTTTCCTGCAACTTACTGAATTATTGTTTTTATTTTGTTTATCAAGAGGATAAGCACGTTTCTGCAGTCTCGATCTGTTACCTCAAGGGAATCGTCATAGACGTTATCCATGATCCAGGTCGTGGTGCTCCTCTCGCCAAGGTTACCTTCTGTCATCCATTTCGCTACAAGAACCACCATAAACTTTGATACTACAATGATTTGCGTCTGTTGGATACTATGATGATTTAAAAATGGACATTTTGTCTTGTGTACTCTTCTTGGAAAATCATTGGCTATGGAGGTATAACACTTTTTGAAGATGGTTATTATTTTTACATCGTTGACTAAAAAGCTGATTTATAATGTTTCTGTTGAAGGCACTGTCATTTGTTATGGACATGATCATTCCATCATGGTTTAGTATTCTCATGTCAGCACCTTTGGTGACTGTATTTGCGAGGTCATGTTTGTTGTTTTTTAATTAATGAAAAATAATCAAGTTTGTTTTTGAAATATTAACTCATATGATTTATGTCACCTCAGAATTTATCTCAAGCAAGTTGTTTGCTTACTGAAAGTTGCTGTGAATATTAATTCCACCTAACTAATGGGTGACTAACAAATTCTAACATTTATAATTTTATTTTTTGCATCATATTGATTGGAGGTAGCTACAATGTTCTTTATTTATTTTCTACTTTTCTGAAATTTGGTTTTCAGTGTACTGATTATATTTTGATGATAAAATTTCCAATGATTTTTCAAGTTTGTTTGGGTTTAGTTGAACATGTCTACCGAGCATTTGCATAATTTCCATAGGTTTTCTGAAAGTTTTGGCTAAACTTTATCCAATATTCTGGTTTGGTAAATCAGGGTACA